CTGGCGTGAGTCAGCCGGCCTAGTCGGACTAGTCGTGTGACCGATCGTTCTGTTATTTCCTTTAACGTCTTTGCCGGCCGTTCTGCTGTCGTGGAAAAGAGGCGCACCGTTCGTGGCCGTTTTCTTGCTCGTCATCGTACACCGCTGGGAACCGGATATTAGACGAGAAAAATACCGGCTGCGAGCGAAAAAGAGGAAAAAGAATCGATTGTTGCGTAACCGGGGATACCTCGAGACCCCGCTGTATCTGTTATTTCAGCCTTTTGTCTTTCGCCATGATAGGGGATAGATCACGGCGTTACGTCAGAGCTGTCTCTAGTTTTAGCTTGTCCAAACATCCAACCGGATGTTCCTGTCTCTCAGACGTAGCAATCGTTGCCCCAAACACAGGGTGTTGGGAGGGCCAATTCAGAAATGTATTTCTGGCTCACGAGGACACGGGGTATTACTCCAAGGATACCTAGAGGAAGGTACCAATGTCCTGGACTCTAAGGATACCTAGAGAAAGTTATCAATATCCTGGATTCTAAGTATACCTACTTACAATGTCCTAGACTGTAAGGATACCTAGGGAAAGTTATCAATGTCCTGGATTCTAAGTATATCTAGAGGAAGGTACCGATATTCTAGACTCTAAGAATACCTATAAAAAGGTACCAATGTCCTGGACTCTAAGAATACGTAAAAGAAAGTACCAATATTTCAAATTCTAAGGATACCTAGAGGAAGATACCAATGTCCTAGACTGTAAGGATACCTGGACGATGGTACCAATGTCCTAGACTCCAGTTATACCTAAAGAAAGGTACCAGTGTTCTGGACTCTAAGGATACCTAGAGAAAAATACCAATATCCTAGACTCTGAGGATCTTGATAGTTTATCAAAAACCCTACAGTTTTTATAGGTGGAAACTAAGGATATCTAGAAGAAGGTACCAATGTCCAAAACTCTAAGAGTTCCTAGAGGAAGGTATCACTGTCCTGGACTCTAAGAATATCTAGAGGAAGGTACCATTGTCCTAAACTCTAAGGATTCCTAGAAAAAGTTATCAATGTCCTGGATTCTAAGTATACATAGAGGAAGGTACCAATGTCCTAGACTCTAAGGATACCTATAGAAAGATACCAATGTCCTGGACTCTAAGGATACCTATAGAAAGGTACCAATGTCCTGGACTCTAAGGATATTAAAAAGAAAGGTATCAATGTCCTAGACTGTAAGGATACGTAGAGAAAGTTATCAATGTCCTGGATTCTAAGTATATCTAGAGGAAGGTACCGATATTCTAGACTCTAAGGATACCTACAAAAAGGTATCATGTCCTGGACTCTAAGATTACGTAGACGAAAGTACCAATATTTTAAATTCTAAGGATACCTAGAGGAAGGTACCAATGTCCTAGACTCTAAGGATACCTATAGAAAGGTACCAATGTCCTGGACTCTAAGGATATTAAAAAGAAAGGTACCAATGTCCTGGACTCTAAAGATACCTAGAGAAAGTTATCAATATCCTGCATTCTAAGTATAGCTGCTTACAATGTCCTAGACTCTAAGGATATCTAGAAGAAGGTACCAATGTCCTAAACTCCAAGGGTTCCTAGAGGAAGGTATCATTGTCCTGGACTCTAAGAATACCTAGAGGAAGGTACCATTGTCCTAAACTCTAAGGATACCTAGAAAAAGTTATCAATGTCCTGGATTCTAAGTATACATAGAGGAAGGTACCAATATCCTAGACTCTAAGGATACCTATAGAAAGGTACCAATGTCCTGGACTCTAAGGATATTAAAAAGAAAGGTATCAATGTCCTAGACTGTAAGGATACGTAGAGAAAGTTATCAATGTCCTGGATTCTAAGTATATCTAGAGGAAGGTACCGATATTCTAGACTCTAAGAATACCTATAAAAAGGTACCAATGTCCTGGACTCTAAGAATACGTAAAAGAAAGTACCAATATTTCAAATTCTAAGGATACCTAGAGGAAGATACCAATGTCCTAGACTGTAAGGATACCTGGACGATGGTACCAATGTCCTAGACTCCAGTTATACCTAAAGAAAGGTACCAGTGTTCTGGACTCATAAAAAGGTACCAATGTCCTGGACTCTAAGAATACGTAAACGAAAGTATCAATATTTCAAATTCTAAGGATACCTAGAGGAAGATACCAATGTCCTAGACGATGGTACCAATGTCCTAGACTCCAGTTATACCTAAAGAAAGGTACCAGTGTTCTGGACTCTAAGGATACCTAGAGAAAAATACCAATATCCTAGACTCTGAGGATCTTGATAGTTTATCAAAAACCCTACAGTTTTTATAGGTGGAAAGGCAGTTTGGCACTTAGTTTGGTCAATTTGCTCTCTAGAGAGCGCAGATCTACGTACGTTTGGAAACTCCAAAATTCTTCTGGCAAAGTACAGTATTACCGTGGATAAATTCCTACATCCACGCGGAATGTAATATCAGCTGCGGAATTTGCGGACTTAATTCAGCAACAGCACCGCGTCCAAGGATGCCCTAGATTCGGTTCTACAACGGAGCATCGCGAGCTTAACCTTACTCCTTCCATAAATTACGATACTCGCTTGCGCGTCAATGGAGCCTAACTTCTGCCGGGTAATCGTCCGCGGGAAAGCTTTACACTGCAGCTTTACGTAATCGCGGCGTGCACCGTCAGGTACCCCGGGGGGTCAGCCCAGGTCATATCGATACAAAAAAGCTGTCGAATGGCAGGAGCGTAACCGGTGTCGTTACGCGACCAACGATCCCATTCCTCGTTTTCTCGTTCTCGTCCGAGCAGAACTTTCTTCTCCGAGCTCTATCGAGAGATTTCATCGGTGTGCCGTGATCCAGCCACGTCGTTCCAGCGTTAATTACGATCGACACGGGGAAAACACGACGATTATTCCTGCGATCGAGGATCAACGCGAAAACTGACGCGAGAAATTTCTTACCTGCGTTACAGGAGCAGGGAGATAATGGAAAATCGAGCACGAGCTAGTCTAGAGAAGCGTTAACCGCTTGAAATTACCAGAAAAAGGTCGTATCACCTAGAATCGCGACAATGATCGCTCGATCGCGCGACGAAATCGCTCTGTCGCCCGTCCACCAACCGACACCGTCCATAAATCCTCGCGACCGATTTTTTCCTCCATCTCTATCTCCGCCATTCTGCCGCAGTCGTCTTGAAAATTCACGACCACACTCGACACAAGTACACCTGGTTCGACCGCTTCCAGCGCGGCTAAAAGAGCAGACCTTCACCCGGATTCGATACGCGGCTCGCGTAAGCGTAAGCACTCTGACAAGTGCTCGAGCCGCCTTTTTCTCCGGCCCCTCTACCTTTTTCCTCCTTTTTGCTTTTTCTCTCTCCCTCTCTCTCCCTCTCCGCCTCGTTCTCTCGCTTTCTCTGCCCTTTTCTCCTTTTTTCTCCGTTTTTCTGCCCCTCGCCGTTGTCGCCGTTCGCGCACGACACGTCGACACGAGCGGTAAGCGGGTCTTTGAGTCACGCTTTAGAGGTTCCACGACGAGCGGATTACGCGTGTAACGCACCATATTCGAGCGCTACGTGCGTCGCGTGCCGATTAGACCGAACTCCATTGATCAAACGACCGCCAGCCACTCGCGGAGCCTGTCGATCTATCGATCCTTGCGCGTGGTCGTGACAAACAGGTAGCTTCGACAGGTGCTACCTCGGTTCCCAAGATTTTCTGTCAAAAATCGCGGCGGATCGTTGAGAATCGGTGAAAATCGGTGAAAATTGACATGGATCTGCTGGTATCTTGAACTCCGAGTAACGGGAGCAGAAGAAAATGGGGGAAAATGGGGGAAAACTGGGAATCGGTCGCGGAGTTTGGACGATAGAAAGGCGGCGGAATCGTTAAAGAGAAATCGTGGTCGATCACGGGAGATAAACGTAATTTCGAGAGGATCGTTGTAGATTTTCAAACATCATTCGATTGGGCCAGATTCGCGAGTGATTCGACGTCTGGTGGATTGGTATCCGGAGCGTTTATATCTCGAGGAAATATCGCTGCCGTTACCGCGATCCAATTAGAGAGCCACGGATCACAAACGATTAAGATCGACGGCTGTTGGCAAAGAGATGGTGGATGCTACGAGAACACCGCGGCTTCCTAGAAACCGCCTGCGTAGGGGATATGAAATCCGCGAGCAGTTCCACTCCATTTACCATTAATTACCGTGGCGAGTAAAATTGTAAGGTATCCGGCCGACTATCGACTAAATCCTCGAATTTCTATGCGGAGAATCTAGGAAATCCTTTCCACGTGGCTGCAGAAAACGGACAAAACAATTTTTATCCCGAAGAAATCCACCTTTCTTCGCCCGTGAGATTTCCTTTCTCTCGCTGGGCAAGAACGAAACGGAGAAAAGAAAGGATAAAAACGCGTCCTAGAAATTAACCAGAAATTAACTAGAAATTAATTAAAAATGAACTAGAAATCAACGATACCCGATTAGGAGACGAAAGGTCAGGATTGCGAGCGCGAGGGCGTGAGGACAGGTCACCTCTCTCGAGATCGACGAGGGAAGAATGGTTGACGAGGCGCTGGCTCGTTACTGGTGTCGCTGGAATTAAGATTGATAAATTAAGTTGACGTGGCAGCGCGTTAACCTTAATAAACGCGGTCACGGAACGACACCCGTGCTACCCCCGGTGGATTTTCGCGATCGCGATAAAAATGGCGGGCAACCGGGGCCCGGCCGAGACTCTTGATCATCCGCAGAGATTAGCCAACGCGCGATCCGAGGCACGAGGAAAGTTTGTTTGAAATCTGCACGGATTTATGGGCCACGGCTCGATTATCGTAGAAAACAGTGGGTACCGTGCTAACGAATAAATTACCTTCGAATTCCTTGGACTTTGCTTCGCGCTCGCAGCGAACGCATCTCTTTCTTCTCGGACAACGAGTTATTTCGTTTTTACCCGGCATGACGTGTACATACAATGGCCCGATTTTCCGTTTCAGGTAAAACGTTCTGCCAGTCTTGCAAGAAGAAGTGCAGCGGGGAGGTGCTACGAGTGCAGGACAAGTATTTCCACATAGGGTGTTTCAAGTGCGCTCAGTGCAACGCGAGCTTGGCGCAGGGTGGCTTTTTCGCGCGCGAGGGCTCTTACTACTGCACCAAGGTACTGTGCCACGTATAAACAGGAAACCGAGGCAGCGATGGGAGGAAAAGAACGATAAGGAAAACGTTATAGAAAGCGAGAGGACCGCGATGATATGGAGCGCGTAACGCGAGCCGCGATAAATAGACTCTCGCTACACTTTCGCGGATAGACCCGTTGTTCTCCGTTCCCCCCGTGCACGGATTGCTCGCCCTGAAATATTTCCACGGCAGAGAAACGACGAAACGGTAGATCACCGAGGCCGTTGCGAATATTCCCGATAAAATCTCCGCTCGAAACCGCCTCTCCTTTCCAGCGTATTTATCTTCCGCGCGCAAATAAAGCATCGAGCTCCGGTACGATGACAAACGAGGCTGTGAACGTCGCTGAGAGGGCATATTTCACGGGCTGCCTCCGGGATACGATGTCTCGGCGAATCGCTCGTAACGATCGTGTGGGCTTCTTAATTTTTCAGGATTACCGGGAACGCTGGGGGACCAAGTGTGCAGGCTGCGGCGAGTACGTGGAGGGCGACGTGGTCACTGCCGGAGACAAGCACGCCTTCCATCCCAACTGTTTCCACTGTCAGCGATGCAGGCAGCCGTTGCTCGGCCAGGGCACTAAGGTGTCCCTCGTTCAAGGTGAGTCCTCTCCGCGTCAGCACCCGATCGCGGCCGATCTCCAAAGCGGAACGATCGCTCTTTCGTTGCTATTCCGACCAGGCGGAATTGGAGTACCGGTGAACCTGTTAAAGCAAATTACCACTTAGGTGTATCGTCGGCCAACGAGGCTACTCGCTCGCGTGGCCTTGTAACGATTACGCGTCGAACGCTTGGAAACGCAGGCTCGCGCGTATCGCCAGTCAAACCTGTCCCGTTTCGTTCCTCCGCCTTCTTTTCCCGTGCAAATATTTATGCGCATCTTTTGTCGTCGCCTTTATCGATCTAGCCTGCCGAGGACGCCGATAAAGCGGCGTATTTTTAGAGAACCAGTTCCATAAATACGCGCGCGCGCCGCTTCGATCCTCCGTTTCACTCGCCGACCTTTGAACCCTCGGCTGAACACAGGCGCGTGTACACGTGTTCCGAGGAAACAGGCCTGGTACCGCGGATCAACGGGAAGAATCGGATGGCGGGAAGATCCGATTGGGGACCTATCGATGGAAGACGATGGGATTAATCGCTCGTTGCGAATATTTATACACGCGCGGACGCGCAAATCGAAGACGAGTAAACAAGCGCGCGACCACGATCCTTCTTCCTCCTCTGCACACGCGTACGGACGATGAATCAGCCGCGAAGATACGCTGCCGGTTGATCGTTGGTCCCGTGTTCGTTTCTCGAATAAAAGACAATGGACGGTGTGCGTCAGCGAGGCCGCGATCGCTCGCTCGCTCGCGGTCGGATCGTCGACCGGATCTGTCCAATCTCAACTAACCGAGCGTTGTCTATAGGTCAAGCTCTGTGTCACCGATGCGTCGGTATTCCGGTTCGAGAGGCCTCCACGCCGGTCGGCAATAGCACCGCCACCAGAGGATCCGGAGACGGGCCGGCTGACCCTGGTGCCTGCGCTGGTTGCGGAAACCAATTACAGGAAGGTCAGGCTTTGGTCGCTCTTGATCGCCAGTGGCACGTATGGTGCTTCAAGTGTCATAGCTGCGACACTGTCCTCCACGGAGAATACATGGGAAAGTGAGTGAAGAAGATTCGCTGCTCTGTCTTAGAAACTCGGACCATCGCATGCCGATCCTTTCGAACCGTATCGATCTCGCGCCGAGATATCGACTCGTGAAATTTTCCTGGAATAATAGCACGATTCGAGTCGCCAGGTGGAAAAGAAACTAGAGAAAGCGTTGGAATTTCGCTGGTTTTCGATAATCGGGGCAAATAGGCGGGCATTCGTCTAACGCGCGGATTAAGATCGGTGAAAGGCTTTCGTCGCGAACAGGCTTACGAGGAGAGGGCTAGACCTTCGGATCAAGGATTTAGTTGAAGCTTTGCTGGTTTGTAGAGTTTGTTAGTTCGTCACGCAGTTCAGAGAAATACATTGTCGGGAATTTCGCGAAGGGAAGCCAAATGATTAACGTGCAGGGAAGTAACCGTATTCAGTTATACAGCAATTGTATTTATGAAGGTTTAATATACGCGAAGTTTATACACTCTATGCAATATACAAAGAAAACAGTAGAGTCTTTTTTAATGCCACTGTGGGCCACGATATGCAAGGTGTCTGTACTGTTCCTGATCTGAGAGTGAGCAGCTGCGAGGGACAGCAGGCCCTTTTAACCCTTTGCACTCGGCGATTTCTTCATCACAGAAAAATAGCAATTCGAAGACTTCCTGCTATGAAGTCTAGGGTCTTTTTAAAATGGTGAGAAATCGTATGCAAATTAAGTCGTGGAATTATTTTACCTCACACTCACGCATTCGTTGAGCAATTTTAGATTTGATATATTAATTAACATCGATCTCTAGAATGTGATTAAATGGTGACCGAGGGGCGCCTCTGGAATGCAAATGGTTAAACCCTCAAAACCGACCCCTTGATGTCCAAAGGTCGGTATTGGCCTGCAACCTCTAACAGGCCTGTCGTCATCGTTGCATGGACGTAGCTGACTTCCAACATATATCGTTACAAAGGCAACTACTCGATAGTTTTTGAGATACTTATAATTAAAGTTTTATTATTGCCTTAACACGTTGACTGTCAACTACGAGATATCTCGCAGCTTGTTTACTTGCCCAGAACGTCTTCGAGTTATCTCGTCCCTTCGTTACTTGCTATATTTATACAGCTACCAGGAAATTCATAGTATAACTGTGTAAATATGAATAGATGGCATCAGGAAAGAGAAGGAAAAATCAGGTTTGGATTAAATGAACGGGAAATACATTTATGCAAAGTTTATTCGAAAAGAAAAAATTTATACAGATCAAATTGGTTTCTTAGACCGGAATCGTGAAAAGTTGCGTGGCAGTCAACGTATCAATTACAGATTTATTTCGAATAATTGTCAAGTGATGTCATGGTCTAATGACATCCGAAAATTGCCACTAGGTGTCCTTGAGTTCGATCCTGTCCGTAATTAGTTTTTTTTTTCAAATTACTTTTATTTTGTATTAATTTTTCGCCCATGAAAACAAATAATTTTGAATAAATTGTAAATAAAATTTCTTAATAAAAGAATTTATTTCTTCACGCTTTCTTATGCTAATATATATTTGACATTTCTGAAAATAAGAAACAGCAGATGGTCCTGTAATAATATTCCACTTATTCGATGTGCAAGATGTCGATGTGACCTATGCTCTCCCTGTTTCTACGATAAGTACCATTGTTGTAATCGCCAATAAATATCTTTTTCATTAAACAATTTTATTTATAATTTATTTAAAATTGTACGTTTTCGTGGGCGAAAAATTAAGATAAAATAAAAGATAGATGGAAAAAAGCACTATTAATTATAGATGAGATCAAAAACCCGTGGTAGAAACTTTTTGATGTCCCTATTAGGCACAACGATACTTAGTAAATATGGGTATATATTTGGAAGAAATCGATAATTAAGAATAATAAAGTTTAACCCTTTCGATACTACGAGTGACTATACTCACTGGTCACAAAAATTGTGCCAAAAATTAAAACAAGTGCTACCGTTCTGCTTAGCTCTTCTCAAAGAATTGCAAGTGTTATTGCAATAATCGGTTTTTCCTTTTTTCCTTTTCAAAAGACATGGTCCCGAACACTATACACTGCACGATCATAATGTTTCCATCTTTGGCGCTTCGTTCTACAGGAGGAACACGAACAGTGGCGACACCTGCTGTAGCAAAAGTGTTAAGCATAAATATCTGAGAAACCATTGAGTAGTAGCCCTTATAATGGTACACTCTCTTGAACCGGATGACTAAATCTACAAGCCTGCAGAGTTTCAACTAAACCGATAATCCGAAGGACTCGCAGTCTCCTTGTTAGCCGATACAAACGGATTCTTCGACTTTGATCGACAGGGACGGGGTGCCTTACTGCGAGAAGGATTACCAGAAGCAGTTCGGCGTGAAATGTGCCTACTGCAACCGTTATATCAGCGGTAAGGTGCTGCAAGCCGGGGACAATCATCATTTCCACCCGACCTGTGCCCGCTGCACCAAGTGCGGCGACCCCTTCGGTGACGGCGAGGAAATGTACTTGCAGGGCGCGGCCATTTGGCACCCCCGTTGCGGGCCGGGTCCCAACGGGCCCAACGGCATAGTGAACGGCCACGGGGAGGCTCACACGCCTCAGCATCGAGAGTCCGAGCGAATTTCCAGCAGCGCTTCGGAGATGCAGGTAAGATCGCGAGGATCGAGAGAGGTATACGATGAAACTCCGAGATCGTCGATCTATGCTCGATGATCTTCGTTCAGGTGACGATCGACGAGCAGTCAAATAGGATCTTCGACTGTTATTCAACGATTTCTTTTATCTCTATCGCGTATTTTGAAATCGGAACTGGCCAACTGTACATTGTCTCTGTAAAATATTGTACCATACTTGTATATTCGTTAGTATTTGTCTGTGTATAGATGGTGATCGTTGCGTTTGTTTCTCATCGTTTTGTCGTTCATCGTGATCGCTCGTATGTAGCTGATTTTTCTTCTTTTTTTTTTTGGGCTTCACTTATCGCAAGGCCGGTGGTCTCATGCATCATTGAACTTTGTGGAACAAAGAACGTGTCATTGACGTTTTCCGTACGGATCAAATATCTAACGTCGTCTGGCTTTCGTGTGTACGACCACGCGCACTTTAAACGGGTACTCGTCGTTCGTGCATTACGCTGTCTACGTCCGCCAATTGCATTTTTCCGTTCGGCTGCATCGTACGTGGTTGGACCGCGATCGGAATCGTGCATACGTGAGCATACGTGAATTTCGAAGTTTGCCATTCGATCGTAAAGGAGAAAGAGGAGGAAAAGAAGAAAACGAAAGGAAAATAAGAATAACCAAGGGGAAAGTATCCTGCTCTGCTGGAGCCAGTTGGGGAGCCCTGGTTGGGGAAACACGAAACACGAAAGTTCAGCTTGCATCGTGCTTACATTTGGACTGTTGTACCACACGTATTTCATGTGAAACGTTTTTTTCTTTGCTGCTCGGTTAATTTTTCTGACCGTTATACGGAGCAATTTAGAGTAGACCAATCTAGAGCCTAAAGTACCTACCACATTTTTGTTTCTCTCTCATTCGTACCTAGCTTTGTGTATAGCTTCGTCTCCATTCTACTCGACGATATATTATGTGGCTTTTAACATGCATTTGTTCCTTAACATGTCGTTGTATCATTACCGCACGCTTCGATGTCCGAAGTTTTATATATATATACATATATTTATACATATATATATATACGTACATACTTCAACGATTTACCATATGATTTGATCTTCTGTATTATTTTTTAATTTTTATTATTGCTTTCTTAATCGTTGTTTACTTTTTTTCGCACGTTCATTGTGTATAGTTTTCATTGCGGTCACGCACGCCAAGCCTGAACGGATCACTCTGCAGCCCTTACAGCAGCCTCAGTCGCAAGGTATGCCATGTATCTCCTAGCACAGCCGCTCTCTCAAGAGACACCTTTGATTATTTAAGAAATACCACGGAACGTGTATACACGGTACGGGGATCCCCGGGGTCGCATCCCGTAACCACTAGTTTCGTCCAGGGTTTCGGAAAGTTTGCTCGCTGATGGTGAATGTGCCGCCACGTAGATTCTTCGCCATCCTCCAGTTCGCGGCGCGCACCGGATGCTGGGTTATTAAGGAAACGCCAAAGAAACCGCACTGAGCGGTATCCGCTGATTTTTGCTGAAATTTATCGCGTTATCCGTTCGCTTAACGCGCGTTTTATAAAAATTTCAGATCACCCTGAAATGGCCTCGAACGACCTTCGAATAACGGGGGATTTCGTGTGTAACGGTGCTCGAGTCTCGATAAACGTATTAAGTTTCAGCAAAGAACGTCGAGGATGACTCGGTGTGCGAATTTATCGTAGAATCCTAGACGAAGCTAACTTCCGCGATGGTAAACGCTTTCTCAGCGGCGTCTAGTTGGGGGGTTTCTTGAGAGAGAGAATCGAAGCGCGTTGAGTTTTTATCTTCCTTTGCCGAAGTAAATAGCTAAAAGTTAGCTGTATGAGAGACGCTTTATGACCCATCGAAAAGACAGCACGAGTTTAGCCGTGATAATATACGTTAATTGCCCCAGTATTACCCCGCGCGAACTGGCAGTCCTGGACTGATATTGCGAGAGTACGGACGTGGTCCATCCGAAGACGTGTCTAGGATTTATACTTACTCGTACTTGACCGAAACGCCGAGCCAGGGGTACTTGAGACGTCCGATACAGCCGTACGACAAACCTCCGACTAGCCCACACTTTCATAGACCTAGCTGTAAGTACCTCATCCTTCTTTCTCTTTTAAAATCGAGCGAGAGCTTCGCTGGAAACGAGTACAGCGATCGATTCTCTGCTGCCTAGCAAATCACATATGTACTATACGAAAATCGCGGCTGGCACGCGTGCCTCTAAATTCTGCCACTGTTTTATTTCAGCGTCACGTTCGATAAGAAGCAGTGGCGGACGCAGTAGCCGATCTGGAATGCGTGCTCTGGTCGATGCTCTCAGCGAGACCAGACCGAAGTCACCGGCCAGTCAAGTAGATAATGACGAGCCAATAGAGCTGGCGCATTATCCGGACGCCATGAAGCCTCCTCCTGGTACCAAACCGCCGATCGAGAGAGACGATTTCCCTGCTCCGCCTTATCCTTACACAGATCCCGAGAGACGTAGACGGTGGTCCGACACTTATAAGGTACCCACACGAATTACCACGTTTTCACCGTATGCTCTCTGTACGCGTTTCATCAACGATTCCATGTTCCATGCCCGGTCCATCATCCAGTGTGTACCTGTGTCCGACGACGAGGACGAAGTGGACAACAAGACGTATATAAAAGAGGTGGAGGAGAAGCTGAAAAAGGAACAGGACGAGCTGAGCAAAATCGACACTGGGATAGCGAAGGTGTTCTTGCAGGATCGCGAGAAGGATCGGGAGAACCTGAGACACAAGGCCGCCAACGTGGATCCTAGAAACGCATCGAGAACACCATCCGCTGCCAGGGAACCGACTTACAGATTGCGATACGAGAGTCCAGTTGGCGCTTGTAAGTCATCGCGATTCGCTCCCAGACGTCTCTCGCTCTTTTTTCCCTACGCGTGTTTAAATTACACACACGGTTTTTCCCTTCCACGCAGCGCCATCTAGAAATATAGATCATGCCAGGCCGTGGGAAGACGACGATGGTTTTAGTTACAGATCCAGCGTAGGACCCAGTTACAACGGTAAGGTTCTTTCCAGTCGTTAATGATCCTAATCGTCACTATATATTTATATATATATCTCATGATCGTTTCATTAACATTAAGTGATAATCATCTCATACATGTCCACACGTTCGCACATAACACTAACATTTACCACTCTACCGTTTAATGTAACATCGGCTCGTTAGATTTCGAGGCGATAGCAGGGGTGGGGCAGCGAAAAAATCTCGTCCCTTTTTATATTTCGGAAAAAGAGAAAAGAAAAAAATGAAAGAAAAGAATATACAGAATTTGATAAAAGATAAAGATAAATAAATAATTTCCTCTATCGTGGAACGCAACGTTGCAACGTGCGAATCTTGCAGTGGGAAGGGGTGATGATGCTCGATTAACGAACGATAACACACAGTGCGTGTAAACTCGAGCAGGAGTTTATAAGTTAAGTGGCATAGCACCAAATACCACAGCACACACTGGGCGCCCATTAACGTGACAGGTGATGTATTTATTCCGCTTCTGCATGTGGTCGGCATATTACCTTCGATGTGCTTGCCTCTTCTTATCTCTCTCGATTATCTTTCTATACGCCAATACGAGTAACAGAAATAGCGTGCGTGGAAAGTTCATCCTTTCAAGTAGCGTGTAATATCGATCCCCATTATTTCATACGTGATCATTCATCGGTACGTTTATATATTCATATCTATATATATCATAGACAACATTTTTGCTATTCCTCCCCTCCTCTTCTGGCATGGTAATAACTATTATAAATTTCACTCTTGGCAACCCTCGTTCATTCATACACGAACACACATCGCTCCAAACTTCATTCTCTCTCATTACTTGTTTGGAATGTCTTTCTTTATTTTTTTTTTCTTTTTTTTTTTCTCAATTATCATACAATATTGGAAGATAATCGTGTACATTCGCCGGGGGAAATTTATCGTATTAATTGCGTGTACATATTTTCGTTGCGCAGCATGACAGTCTGTATAATTTCTCTTTGGCACTGCATACCTTCGTATCGCTTTGCGTACAAGAAGAGGAGAACATAGTACGTTTACTATAGCAGGCTGATTTTACTTTTACGGCATATTTTGACCTGGCCGAACGCGTATCTTCCAATGTTGGGACATTCGAAAAAGGTCGTTAGGATTTACCGCTATCTACGTTAGCCAACACCGCTATCTGTATCATCGTGTCTCTATTTGTGTTTTTGTGTTTGTGTTGTGTTTGCGTGGGCGGCAGTTGGGAGGTCATCGGCACGTTCCCCGGCTCCCAGAAACTATCCACCCCTTGGTACTCAACGCGCCTTCACTCTTCCAAACGCCGCTAGGCACTATCATTCGGTGAGTCCGAGAACTTTCCAATTCACCTACCGTTGATCTCAAGTCAAATCCAAAATTAGCGTCCATCGGTATACCGATAGAAAGAACAGTGTATAGAAGGGAAAAACCAATTCTCTTTCTCTTGCCTTGCCGCGCAACGTGTGCACCACGTTGCGTGCGAGTTTCGCCACATCGAGATTCGTCTGCCGGCGAGTCGAATTGCGAATAGACGGAAGAGATGAAAAAGAGCGAAAAGGGCGAAAAAGGCAAACGAAAGATCGAGACTTGCGAAGAGCAACGACGAGAAAAATGTCGAAGAGAGATGATACCCTTTCGATCGACGCGATGATTCGTTGACTTGTCTTCAAGGGAGGCATGCTTTTCGTTCTCTTAAGCTTACTTGGAGAAACAAACGTTGATCGTACTTACATATACACACAGGTGCTGGCTTCTTCGTACATGCGTATTCGATATAATATATATATATTTATATATACGTACATTTTTATCTTCTTTCCGTTGTATACACCTACGTACTACCTTGCACAGTATTAAACGAGAAATAACGCTTGTGCACTTTGAACATCGGTACGTTCCACCATCTTGCCGTGGGGATGCGATATAAACAGGTCGACAAAACTTGAAACGGAAACTCGAACAAGGAGGATACCTGTCTTTACACAGTAGCAAAATTTTCTTTTCCTCTTCTTCTTTTTTTTCCATATTTTTTTTTATTTTTCTTTATGCTTCCTCTTCGTCTTTGACGATCTTCTCTGTTCCTCGTGCGACGAAGAAGATGGTCAAAGACGAGTGTTGATCCTCTTGTTCGTGAAACGAGATGAAACGTATAAAGCAAAGAGGGGACAGAGTGAGATCCCTGGATGATTCAACTTCAAACACCACCGTAACTATTTTGTACACGGAATGTGTGGTTTTTGTCATTTCTTTTTTTTTTCCTTTTTTTTTTCTTTGTTATTAACGTAACGTATTATTTGGCGAACGTTGGGCATTCGTATGGGAATGAACGATTGCGATATTCCCGTTGACACTAATCAGTAATACTGTCGATTGACTGATTTGAAACCAGTTGTGAGCTCCCTTCGGCACATCCCGAAGCCAGGGTACGGTCTGGCACCGCGAAGTCACACCTTCTCCTCGACCGGCGGTTCTGTATCTGCTCTCCCTGTAAGTCTTGCACCGCGTCACAATCGACGACCAAAAACAAAACAAAACAAAAAAAAAAAAAAAAAAAAAAAAAAAAAAAAAAAAAAAAAAAAAAAAAAAAAAGAATAAAAAACAAACAAAAAAAAAGCAACAGAAAAAGAACAAACAGATCTTCTTGCACCGTTGTTGCAACTGACACATTTTTGCAAATGAGAAATGAAAAAGAAAAAAAAAAAATAAATAAATAAGAAAAATGAATGAAAAGTAACGTCGTAGAGATATTATGATACACACACGTATTTTTTTTCTTTTTTTAATCACCGTATCCGTTGATTGAGTCACGGATGCCCGTGCCTCGGTGGTTTCTAAGATTTACGCTTTTCTGTCGTCTAGGGTGATTATTCGTTCAGTGGGATGGGAGACAAGACGCACAGCACTGATTTCTCGTCTGGCAAATCAGATAGTGAGTAAACCCAGAAAGGAAACCGATCACACGTAACATATTACACGTACACACACATGCACACACACACACACACACACGGTTATCTTGCAGCTCTCTTCCTCGTGCAATATATACTACACGAACCTTTCGATTTTGTACATGCTTTTTTTTCCAATCATTTTCTAGTTTTCAATTTTTTTTTCTATTTTCTTTTCCATTTTTTCCCCTTCTTTTTCTTAATTCTTTTATTCACCCGCGAGTAGAGAGCGTGTTATCGAAGAACTATTACGCAGTTCTCGATTATTCTACTCGATTATACGGCTTAATTCCTCGGCATGCTTTACTAATGCATCCTTGCTCTCTCACACACTGTCACTTTTATTCTTTCTCTTCTTCTTCTTCTTCTTCTTCTTATTCTTCTTACTCTTATTCTTCGCTCTCTTCTTTTTCGATCTTGGTTTAATTATCACGCCTGAGTATCAGGATTCGAACGGTACGAGTCCGTGTTAGATTAAAGACTGCATAATAAGACTTGTTTGATCCATTAACCAGAGGAGTTTATAGTGTGCCCAAGTGACAGTATACATCCTATTCGCCAATAACGTGACTTTATGATACGACAACTCTTTGATCATTGACAGCTGGTACATATCGCGTAGCATTAGAAACCGAATTCAGGTCATATGTATAATATAATCATGGAACATTTGCTTCTAGTAATTCGATCGAATCAATCGTATTCCCGATCGTTGGAACGTCTGCTCGCTTCTTTGACCAGATGTCGCATAGCACGTGGCTGCGTTGCCCCGCAATTTCTCCCCGATTTCACCCCAACACGAGAACCGAATACGATTGATCGATCCCCTAGAAAGATTGTACTTAACATATCGAAATGGTTTGTGCAATATGGTTTGACATGGTTTTCTTTCCCATTTTTTTTCCCGAATTTTAGTATCGACAGGCAGCATCACGGATGTGGATCGACGGGCATTGGTATGTACCACAGCCCCATACTACTCCCGGCGAATTAGCATGGTTTGTAGCTTGTTTTGCATTTCAATTATTTTAACAGCATATTATCACAGCCGCGCGTTGATCGTTAAATTATACACTCACGTGAGATCTCGGGACAGCCGGGGAGAGTTTGCGTAGAAGGAAGAGAACGATCGTCGGGCTAAATCCTTCCACTAGGATCGATCGATCGGATATAAATGTTGTCTGTAAATAACGAGCGTTGCCGGTCTGTCTATACATGTATAATAACGTTTGTACATAGGAACATTTGTACATTGATTAACGCATGCACACGCTGTACATTTGCTGCGATATCTAATTTTTTTTTTTTTTTACTGGTCTCTTTCATTTTTTTTTTTTTTTAAATTGCATTTTCTTGTACGATTTATTTATTTTTTTTCTTTGCCTTGGCATACTTCAAGCCTGCATATGTGATTTTGAACCTTGCGAGAGGAGATCGGACACGATCGCGAGATTTTTCCTGATCGATTTTGCGATTCGATGTCTTTTGGTATACACCTGACTCTCGGCTTTCCGTCCCCTCTCTGGACCGATCATTTCTTCGGACTTACGGCATATATAGCTTGGTAACCTTTGGCAAAATGTTTCGCTACGACAACGCGACGCCGGGACGATCCGGATGCCGAATAACGTGAACGAAACTGACGCGTAACGCTCGGTGTTCTCATGACTTGACTTACCAGCATACACTCTGCATCCGTGATACGATCAATGCGTACGAGACGGAAAACGGAACTATACGCCTAAACTGAAATTAACGTGCATGAGAATGTGCGTGTGTGTCTCGATTGCTTTGTTCCCTTCTTTCCTCGAGCGAAGGAAATTTTCTCTAATAATAATAACGATAATGAAATAAAAATAAAAGGAAAAAAGAAAGAAAAATCGTGTAACGAACCGTGTCGATCCACGCAAGTGACACGAGAGGGTTGCACACGAACGGTTTGCAACCGGGGAGCAACGAGTCGAAGCGATTAACCCTTTGGGCTCGAGAGGTGCCTTTCGGTCACCGTTTGATAAAATTGCAAAGATCTATATTAATTAATATGCCAAATTTAAAATAACGTAACATTGTGTGAGATATCAAAATTAAATAATTCTACGTGTTAATTATTATACAATTTCTTATTTACTGTTCAAAATAATATCGTCGTCTTTGTAGCAGAAAATTTTTAAACTTCTACTCTGCTTTAGTGAAAAAGTGGTCGAGTGTAAAGGGTTAATCCGTCAAATGCCAGTTCCTATAAATCGTTTCAGTCTAGCTATAGTTCTGTCTCGTGATAAGCTCTGTCGATTCGGTCATTAACAGACGCGGTATTCGCCGTTTTCCTTTCCGCAAAAATATTCCTTTCTGCAAAATATTGGCCCCCCCGATAACGAGCAACGATCGATTTCGTTGCAAGATGAAAGGTTCTCGCAAATTCCTAAAGTCACGCGTATTTCCTTCTCGACGATTATTCAAGTCGATGGAAATTCGAGAGATTCATTTGGAAAAGTATCGAAATTTTGTTGCAAATCACGCGAGAAGCTTTTGAACGGCTGCACCGCTATTAACGCTCTCATTACACGTGAGAATGGACCGCGTTGCGAGGAAACTAACGATTGAATGGTGCTTCAGAATGATGGTGGAATGCTGCCATCATCTACCACGTATACAGGTGGCCTAGGTTCGGTAGTCGGAAGCCACGGGGGCCATCACGTAAGGAGATCACTGCCAGACATGGGCACAACGCCGTCCGAACCGCCGAAACTCTATCCTTACCACTTACTTGTTATAACTAACTACAGGCTGCCCGCCGACGTGGATCGTTGCAACCTCGAAGTAAGTAATCGATACATTTTAACGATATTTTAACGATAGTTGCAGAATCGAGAGCGCGTTGAATTTATTTAGAACGCCGGGGATAACGTTTCAATTGCCTTCGAAGGGATTCTGTTTCTAGTCAGTGAAAAAGTCGTAAAATCGATCCACCGTGCGAAAACTGATCGTGGATAACGCGATCGATGAAGCAACTATCGTAGAAGATCCTAGATCTTTTAGCTGCGATTAAAATTGATGATGGATTACGTGTCTAATTGGCTTCTTTTTTCAGCGACACCTTTCCGACGCGGAATTCGAGGCAGTTCTTCAATTTTCCCGTGCCGAGTTCTACAGACTACCGCAATGGCGCCGTAACGAAATCAAAAGACGTGCCCGGCTATTTTAACCGGCAACAATCACGCTACGTGTTCTACTTATTACCTTCATCGTGTCACGACTGTGTTACCGTGCTATAGAGTGTACATTCCTTCGGCGTGGTAGGTGTATCATGAGAGAAAAGGGGAACACGTGTTCGAGGAACCAACGATCCATACCGGTTTTCGATCGCGAACATCGATATCGAAGCATCGTCATCGTAGCGAATGCATAACGAGGTAGAGATTCTCCTCCGCGCGCTCATACACTCACAGAGACACGTATATGCGTATACACACACCGTTCAAGCATGTATAAACACGCATAAACACACGTTCGTCATTCACACGATGACGCAGATACATACACGCAAAGTACTACCGTTCGTCGTCAATTCTGTTCTCTCGGCAACGAATCCACAGGCAGCTTGAATTCGATCGTTCACAAACTATTTCATCACCCTGTGACTTCGGTGCTTCTTTCGGGAGAATCTTAGGTGTTTATAAGGGAGAGGGAGAGGGAGAGAGACGCATATCCGTCGATTTCGACTGAGAAAGTCGAGAGCGAAAACAGAGAATGGGGAAACGTTGAGTCGTCCGAGCGCTCGTAATCAGATATTGTTAAGAAGAGAAGAAGATATATTGTATGTATATCAATCGCTATTATCGAGGACCATTTCGAACGGAATGGTTCGGAAGAGGAGAGGAGAAAGTTGTCCTATGTATAACACGTACACTTTCCTGACCATGATTTTCACGGTTCGAAAAGTGAGAACGATAGATGGGTAATAATACTAGGGAGGTAGCTGAACGTAAGGGTGGCCAGGATCGATTGAGGTTTTATCATTTAACGGGAACATCGTCTTGTGACTTGGATGTTACTAGCGAACGTCGACGTATAAAAGAGCGCGGCGGGAAGATGTGCAAGATTCAAAGCGAATAGAAATCAGAGAAATGGTAATACTCGTTGATACGCATAGAGTGTTGTAAATAAACGAATGAGAAATGTTAAACAGAATAAAAGAAGCAGCGAAAGTACGCGGAAGTATATATATATATATATAAATATATATATATATATACACACACACATACACAAACGTATATACCATTTTGAGAATTCGCTTGAATCACGAAACACACTTACTATTTGCAAAGGGTTATAATATAAAAGCGCTATCAAGTAAATAGGAAGTCCAGCTTGCCGAATGACGTAATTATCAACATATTTAACTACCATTGTCGATTTTGCATGCTGTTTCACTATTTTAACGCACGTATGCAAGCGACGCAACTGTTGATAAATCATAATATATATAAAATATATATATAAATAAGATTTCCCTTAACTCGATTTCTCTGACTTGTATCGACGATACACGACGAAGCGTTCTGCGGTGCGGGCGATTAAAGATATGCAAAGCAAGAATATATATATCGCGAAAGTATTCATATCTATTTGGATAAATGAAAATTATCGAGGAGCGGAAGGAAAAAAAAAAAGCGTAAAAAAGAGAAAATACATAAAAAAGCCACATTTATCATAGCCAGTTGTTCTATGCCGTGGGTGTACGTCAGTTGGCAAGCTGAAGACGCGAGAGAGTGTGCGTACATTGAAAGAGAACTGTTAAATTTGATCCAGAGAGATTCAAATTTTCGTATGGTTTCGTAACGTATGTATCAGAATCGGTCGCAACTTTACGTTCGAGAAACGTAAGAAAAATGGAAGAAAAAAAGAAAGGAAAAATGGGAAAAGGAAAATCCACGCGGGGGTATGCGTACTTTGAACGAACCGAGAATCGCGTTTTATTCTACACTTCGCCTCTTACCCTAAGTCATACGTGCCTATATGTAAATGTCAGCGGACATTTCCGTACACGAGAAGCTGCCGGGCGCCATCTCTCGAGTGAGAGGGCGCCACCATACACGTTGCATGCGTCGTGCAATTTCCTGGAGCTTACTCTCGTGGCTTCGTTACGAGGATTTGGGAACGTGCTCCATGATCTTGCGCAATGCGATTCTGCGAGATCGCAAAACGAAGAGAAAGAGGAAAAGTAATCGTTCACTCCGCGTGAAGGGACACATGTGCGTATACGAGTGCCGAGGAAATTGGAAGGGTCGGTGACGGAGTTGTCTTATGCCGTTTCTCGTTTCCTTGTGGTCCGCTTTTGTACACACTATCGGAATCAATAAACTGCAATATTTATCTTTCGTTTGCAGCGTTTTATCAGCAATGATCCAAATTTAAATACGATTGACTTAAAATTCTCTAAGTTGCTTGTTCTTCCGGTCACTTTTATTTCGTCGACCATTCGTCCTTCCGTTCACGTTCTTTCTGTTCGTTGCGTTTTATTTCCTACGTTTCGTTTTGTCGTCTCCTGGTTTCTCTTCCGTGCGTTTATCGCACGTTTTAATTTACGACAATCGATAGCAAAGTGATTCTATACCGTGGCCGCTGTCAGATCATGGTGCACCGTTGTCGTTTGTACCGTGCAATGCGAACCAATGTACGTTTCTGTTGTATAGAGCACATTGCTTCCGCTAGTCCCTCAAGTTAAATAAACGCAAACCTACACAAAAGCTGACTCACGCGTCTCTTCGCATTCTTATCGTTGCGTTTACACACGCGATCGAACCTTTGCTCGTATCACTTGCGTTCTACTCCACGTTCTCATCGTTGTCAGTGTGATGCATTGCGAACATGTGTGGCTGTCCGTTATTGTACAAGTTTTACTTTCTACGTTCTTTCCCGGGAACTTTACTTCTACTTTTTATTAAAAAGAACAGCATGGAAAATTATACATTACGATGTACCATATAAACGACTCGTCGTTCGCACTTTGGTTCCTAGTAAGTTCATCGCCTTGCATAATACACTTCTGTCGACCATGTTTCTTATTACTATCTCGTGAAATAAATAAACCATTTGTCCCAACGTTGCCTTTTGCAACCCGGCGTATTTTCATTGGCCACCACGTCGCATTATCCTAGCCGCGAATCTAACGAATCTAGGAAACGTTCAGCTTTTCTCGAAGAATAACGAACCCCTCTAACACGCTGGACAACGCTTCGTACTCGTCTAGAGCAAGCTCTGCCCTTTCCCCGGATGAGAGCAACGTCGGAGTCGTGTGCACGTACCCACCAGAGATAGATTTAGGATTGCCAGCCTTGCCCACGATGTTCACAGCTTGGCCAACCCGCACGGACACCGGTAAACTCTGCTCAAAGTATAATCCACTGAGTTTCAAACCTTCTACGCCACCTGTTAACTATCATACGTGCCTGCAAATTCTCATCCAACGTGACCAGCCACCTGGGTTCCATTGCGAGTGCCAGACAGTACATCAGGTAATGAGACTTTGCGAGGATCAGGCTCTGAGAGTCCAGAAACGCCACCAGGACTACCAAGAGACCAGCCAAAGCAGCTCTGTCCAACACCTTGGAGGCGTATCTCAACGGAGAGATGGATAGCGTGCCCTGACAGAGGATTTCAGTGAATTCAAACAAGCCATCAATTGGGATTAGTCCACGGTTTGCCGTGTTTACTTTGCCAAGGTGGACCAAGCCCTGAGCAATCCTAACTAGGAACAGGTGCGTGGGATTCTTCGCGTAGTAGCAGGCTAATTGCCTCAGCATGGTTGCAAGACGAGCGTTGTTTGTGCCAGCACCGACGAGACCGAGAGCAAAGATGGCGTTGTTGGCCACGTCAGAGTCGTTGTCGTGGCTGTATTTGTTGAGGACGTCCAGGACTGGGAGGTCAGGGTTTGACAGGGAGGAGAGACCCAGAGCCAGTGGCATGGCACGTCTGGCAGTTAGGGGACCGTACCTTCCGATCTAGGGAATAATCGGTTGTGCAAATATAATCCTCTGGTTTGCGTTCTTAAATCTAACGATTTGCGTTCTCCTTTTCAAGGCTTTGCCATCACCTGACCAAAGATCCTCGAGTTCTCCTTTCCTTCGCCCAGCCCAACTGCAGCGACTCCCAAAGTAGCGATGGCCTGGGACGATTCGATTTCCCTGGGTTGCATGATAATTGCGTAATAATTACATAACGGAAGCTATGGAAAGTAAAATAACAATAATAGGTATGCAGTTAGAGGTCACTTTGATCCTCCAGTTTTTTCTTCCGATTTCTCCTTGTTCTTTTTCTCAGCTGTCTCTATGCTTCGAGGACGTTGATCGCAGCAGCTAATCACGGGGCTACTAGCCGGCGTGACTGGAACGCTCTCGCCGTCCACAGGTTCTGAACAAATTCGTAGCAGTTCCTGAACGATCAGCACGTCCCCTGTCCCAGCGTACGCGCACACCTGACAACGATAAGATATCTTCAACTCGAATCTGAGAAAATTTGGTTACATTATTGTCTCGACGTGAGAGCAAGAGTTGACCTGCAGCATGGTCTGTGCAGCAAGCTTGTAAGGGTCAGGTAGGACCTCCAATGCGGCCGACGGGGTGTCTATCACGTCACGACAGCCCATGTAGACCATCCCCAGAGCCAATGGCACAAATCTGCAGAAACGGGCTCGAAGAAGCTACTTTTTGAACAGAGATATTACATTACTCGATGAAGGGGAGGCAGTTTTCACCTGGAGTGGGTGTCAGACAGTTTTTCAGGAGTGAATTCCAAAAACCTCTGCAGGAGAACCGATGAAGCTTCAGCGTCCGCAGAGCCAACGTTTATCAAGCCTATCGCGATTGCTCCGAGAGCCACGACCTCCATGTTACCTGAAGATCGTGCATCATCAGGATAATCGTTCGATCTCCGTGTTAATCACTCACGTACTTTCTTTATCCACCAAGACTGCCGTCAGAAGATCCGTGACGTCGGATCTCTGCGAGCCAGCGTAGGCCAGGCCTAATCCTAAGTTAATCACTCACGTACTTTCTTTATCCACCAAAACTGCCGTCAGAAGATCCGTGACGTCGGATCTCTGCGAGCCAGCGTAGGCCAGGCCTAATCCTAGCACAGCGCCGATTCTCAGCATGGCGTTCTCAGAGCACACGTAATCGCTGAGCAGTGCCAGTGCTGGATCACATTCGTTGCGAACGCCGCAGTTGACCAAGCCTATAGCGAGCAAGGCACCTGCCTTGATGTTGTAATCGTTGGTGTAAAGGTACCTGCGGAGTAAACACAGGTCACCTCGCGAAGGCTTATTCGCAGTAGTCCATTACGATAAGAGACGCGATTCACTTGTCGATCGGTACCAGACCACCGTCTACGTCCCACATGTGTATCAGACCCAAGGAAGCGGTAGCCGAGAGCATTCCGTGGTCCTAGGGAATAATTTTATCCTCGATTTACCTCGTTTAACACTATCCACCTGGTCTAACGTTTGAGGAGGAACCTTGTTTTTGTAAACCCAGCATTCGGAAGTGTTCTCCATCAGCTTGTCCTGTCCAAATCCTGCGTGAACGAATCCAGAGACGAAGGTAGCTGCTAGGTTGGCTCTGGCCGAGTCGTGATCCGTGCGTCTCAGGGTGTTGCTCTCTAGCCAGGTCTTGTAAATGTCGTCTGGGTGCTTGGGTTCCATAATATCCAGCTCTCTGGCGAGTAGATGGAAATGGTTGTTCACGTGAGAGTTGCTCAGGATGTCTTCGATATCCTTCGCGTCGTCTCCTTGGTAAATTTTCTTTAACATGGTCTCCTGAAGATCCACGAGTTATATGCAATTGAGAAGCGTAGTTTCTTGAATGATTCGTAGGAAACATGACGAGCTACCTTCTGCCTCACGAGTATAAATGCCAATTGTTTTCGCATCAGGGTGTCAGGACAGGTGGTGATGCACTCGTGCACGAGATCAGAGTCACCTAATTGCAGAGCTACTAGCATTGCCTTGCAGTATTCCTTGAATCGCAAGTAATAATCCACCACGGTTTCTAATATCCGTCTTCTCTCAGTATCCTCGCTGAACGTTAGAAAAACAGGAAACAAGATGGAGTTCCTTATATTTCGATTACTATACTGTATCAGCAAGTTCACCTGTAGGCTGCACAGCTCTCCAGATACCTGCAGACTCGATCGAAGTTCGTGTTGTCCAAGGAATCGTTCAGGAAATTCAGCTGATCGATCTCCAAGCATAGGTCGCAGCCAGGTATCTCGGCGTTGTGCTTCATGTCGAACTGTATGATACCTTTCACCAGAGGAGTGAACTCTGTTCTGCCATAAAGAAGAGGAAGCAAGTGGAGAAACAGGTAAATCGTTTTATTCTGTTTACAATCCTTCATCCGTGTCTGGAATACCTTATACGATCCTCGTCTTTTACAGGAGCATTCGTCCACTCGTCCACGATCTCAGCCTCGAGCTGTCGCACGTACTCGTGACCCCATTCACCAGGGTTCGTCACCTCACCCTCCATGCAGTATCGGAGGCATTCCTTGGACCCAGGTGCTGCTCCAGCCATCGATAACACGCTCAACACTTCCGCGAACTGACGTCTCACGTCCTTCCTCTGGATCTTCGTCTGAGCGTGCTTCATGTCTTTGTAAAGGCTCTTCAGGTATTTCAGGGGTTTTGGCACGGAGGTCATCGAAGTGGTCGAGGTCTGCATCAGCAGTCGCAGTTGGCTCAGGGATATCAGCATCACGTTCTCGTCTTTCCCCTCGAATCGAATTAACACAGGGCACGATAGAGGTACGATAGAGGCAAGCTTGGCCTAGGTGGCAGATCTAAATTCGAAATATTTTCAGTGCACGGAGATTAACCATCGTTACCAGCAGCACGTCGACCAACTGATCGAATTAATCATTACTGAATCGAATTAACACAGGGCACGATAGAGGTACGATAGAGACAAGCTTTGCCTAGGTGGCAGATCTAAATTCGACATCTTTTCAGTGCACGGAGATTAACCATCGTTACCAGCAGCACGTCGACCAACTGATCGAATTAATCATTACTGAATCGAATTAACACAGGGCACGATAGAGGTACGATAGAGGCAAGTTTGGCCTAGGTGCCAGATCTAAATTCGAAATCTTTTCAGTGCACGGAGATTAACCATCGTTACCAGCAGCACGTCGACCAACTGGAACAGCTCTTCCTGCAGACGCGTGTCCTCCTCGTCCTGGCAACATTTCGTTCGTGTGAAAAGTGAAACGAACCGGAAACGCATTTTCTTGCGAGCATAACGCGGTTACCATTTCTGACTCCTTTCGCTGACCGACTTTCGCCATGGTTGAAGTTTTCAAATTTACCAGTCTGTTATTTCCAACGTGGTCTTGCTCCCTGCGTTCACGAAATCCTGCGAAAGTATTCGCGAACGTGTTTCACAGTCAACGCAGGAGGCACGATTCTCTTCTGTTTCGCTCGTCAGATATGCAAGGAAATCGATACATCGCGAACACTCGAATTTCCTCGTTTCTAACGCGACAGCCTCGTATCGCTGCGAAAATTTGCAAGAGCGCGGAAACGTTGGAGCGTACATAAGAGAGCGTATAGAACATAGGAGAGGAATAGGACAGAGTGTAGGCAGGCCGAAGAGAGAAAGGCTTTCACCGTGAGCTTCGTGCTTAATACTTCAAAGTTATAATTTATTTAACGGTAACAAAAGTATTTATCGTAATTATACTATACATGTAATGCGTATCAATATGTATATTATATGTATATATGCATGTATATACAGTCGCGCTGGATGACGACCCAAGTGGGAAATATATATAATATATGCATATGATATTCGTCGATTAGAAGTTTCCAAAACTTGATTTCCTTTGTACCCTGGTTACATTTAAAAGTTATCACATTCTCTCATTGCTTCGTACACAACGTTCCCGCGATCGTCATACTCTATTTTAAAAATCTACCTCGCTGACAATCGCGTGGAAAATCGTTATCGTTCGATCTGTCTAATTGCGTGCATCGCTCTAGAGGCCTCTCGAACAATGCGCGTTTCTTCCACCTTTAATCATTTTTATTTTCCGCGAACATCGCAGTTCCCTGCTTGCGCGACGTTGCCTCACTGGAAGAAGGAAGAAACGGGAAGAAAACGATAATGATACATTCCGTGAGCGCTTCTCTGGTCCAGAATGGAAATTACGTACACCGGGTAAAATGCGCACGCGATTTGGCCACGATTCTTTTTCTCCTTCTTTTCTACTTTTATTTTCTTATCCTTTTATAATATATATATATATATAGGTTTTTAAAACTCCTTCTACCCTTTTCACGCGCGTACACGAGTTTCGTCTTAAGCATATCTTAGGAAAAGTCTTATTGCTCTTTAAGAAAGAGGAACATCCCGGGAATGATTCAACAGCGATCATTAGAACGCGCGCGGAAGTGATCGTGACGCGCAGATCCTCGCGAGGAAAAATCGACTTCCGCCAGCGACGACGGCGTCGAGACGCTAACCGTCCATAATTCCGACCTTGATGAAATCCGATCTAAGCGCTGGATTTTTCAACGCGATGAATATGCGCGCGACGACCAGGTTCGATCGTTGATCACTATACACACATACACACGCACAGGCATACAGCATTGTGTTCTTTTTTTCCTCCTTTTTTCCTCGCCTTTTTCCCCCCTGTTTTGCATTTTTCCTCGCATTTGTTACAACTGAGGAGTCTTCACGGCTCGAAAGATAATCGTGTTTAACTGACGAAGAATTGGCACGCGTGCCAAAATGACACTCCGAAATTTCCTTGGACCCGATTTCGATCGAAAATTTCAGAAATAGTTCGACTTCGATTTTTTCCGTTTTCTCAGAAATCACGATTTGATTTCAATTCGATATTTGATATGTATAATAAATTTCTTGCGAGTTTTAAGTTAATTAGGAACATCGGACTTCGATTTAATTTAATTAGGAACATCGAACTTAGAATCGTTTATACCAAAATATTTGAATTCTTCGATTTAAATACCAGTGATTTTGGTTTTCTCGTCCTGTTTCTCATTTTTCCTCGCATTTGTTGCACCTGAGGGGTGAGGTAGGAGAAAGATAATCGCGTTTCGCTGACGAAAAATTGGCACGCGTGCCAAAATGACACTCCGAAATTTCGTTGGACTCGATTTCGATCGGAAATGCAGAAATAATTCGACTTCGATTTCTTTCTTTTCTCAGAAATCACGATTTGATTTGAATTCGATATGTGATATGCGTGATAGATTTCTTGCGAATTTTAATTTAATTAGGAACATCGGACTTCGAATAATTTATACCAAAATATTTGGATTCTTCGATTTATAATACCATTATTTATAATACCAGTGATTTTGGTCACTTGAGCTCATTGAAACAAAGAAATTTAATCGAATTATCTCGCAATCGTCTTTGCCAATCGCCAAAATTACTGCTATAGTTTCTGTCACGTGTCAAACGAAACGTACCTCGGGTCAAATTATCCTACTGCGATATGTTAAGACGATTATCTCTCCGATCGTCTATTAAAGCACGTGAGATAATCGTGATCGTGTTTGGCACATCATTAAGATTATCGCTTAACTATAAATGAAACATGACAGTCGCTAATTACGAACAGAGGAAAAAAAGGTCGAAAGAAAGGAGAAAAAAGCCGAAGCGTTATACACGCGACATGTTCATCACCGATGCACGAAGAATAATGATATGTCTTTGAGGGAAATTCTTGCGAAATTTACCACAGGATAGACAGAATCTATATATTCTTCGGTAGCTTTGGTTGCAGGTAAATACAACTGGAGCCTCAAACACGGACTTGCCTGGTCGTATCAGGAATCGTTCGTACTCTACCGATATTTTATCAAAAGTCGAATTTGAAAATTCGAATTACTGTCTATATCGAACTGATCTGTTAAGTCTAGAATAACGAAACTGCGTTTGCAGGGGGAAGATCGAAGAAAGAAAAGGGACGCTCTACGCTACTATCCCAAAAGCCAAACAAAGAAAGAAGAAGCATGTATATCGAAGATAAAACACACGAATCGATTATACTCGATCCAGCAAGTCGGTTGATCGTGGAAAGACTGGATCTTCAAGTACTCGCAACCTTCGATCACGAAAATTTTGCGTTCCTCTTATTCCAGAAGAAGGAAGAACGAAAATGGACGCGAGTCACCTAGAACCCCGGGAGACTCAGAGGTGAAATTGGCCGGGAAAATTTTGCATTCCTCTTATTTCAGAAGAAGAAACAATAAAAATGGACGCGAGTCACCTAGAACCCCGGGAGACTCAGAGGTGACTCTGAATTTTGTTCCACCTTCTTCTGGAATAAGAGGAACGCAAAATTTTCGTGATGGAAGGCTGCGACTACTTGGAACTGACTCTCCTCTGTCTCCCTATGATCAGTCCCTCTGAGTTTCAAGCAGTCGCAGCCTTCTATCACGAAAATTTTGCGTTCCTCTTATTCCAGAAGAAGGAAGAACGAAAATGGACACGAGTCACCTAGAACCCCGGGAGACTCAGAGGTGAAATTGGCCAGGAAAATTTTGCATTCCTCTTATTCCAGAAGAAGGAAGAACGAAAATGGACCCCGAGAGACTCAGAAGTGACTCGCGTCCATTTTGTTCCTCCTTCTTCTGGAATAACAGGCACGCAAAATTTTCGTGATGGAAGGCTGCGACTACTTGAAACTGACTCTCCTCTATCTCCCCACGATCAGTCCCTCAGAGTTTCAAGCAGTCGCAGCCTTCTATCACGAAAAATTGCACGTTCCTCTTATTCCAGATGAAGGAAGAACGCAAAATTTTCGTGATCGAAGGCCGAATTGACTCACCTCTGTCTCTCTGTGATCAGTCCCTCAGAGCTTCAAGCAGTCGCAGTCTTTGATCACGAAAAATTTTGCGTTCCTCTGATTCCAGAAGGAGGAGAAACAAAATGGACGCGAGTCATCTCGAACCCCGCGAGTTATCTTTCTACGATGAGTCCCTCCGAATTGCCCGGATCGCGACCAAAGTCTACCAGTCGTAGAAAATACACGACTCACGTGTCCATTGAACGATTCAAAAAATTCCACCTGCGTCATCCCTTTTTTTCCTTCTTTTTCTTCTCCGCGTGACGTGCGCTGGCACGCCGCTCGTCTTATAATTAGATAAGGATCGATCGTATTTGCGGAATTCCCGCGTGCGAATCGTTTTGCCTAGCCATCGCGCGATTTCGCTTGTGCGACTGGGTCGGAGGTGGGTCCTCGATCGGGCCTCGGATGATCGACGCGTTCTATCGCTCCACGATCGATCGAGAATCGCGATGGCGCGGTGGTTGCTCGGTGCAGCGGAATTCGTCCTCGTATACACACGCACTCGCACGCACACACGCGCGTCTAATACGGCGTTAAATTATTAAATATTATCATACTCGGGATACGGAGGATCGCTTTGAACCTTACGTACAAAGGAAACGACACGTACGCTGGACGACTAAGACTTGTCAGGAAATAAATACGTTTAGAAACTATTATTCCGCGGACGTGGCGAGGAACGTGGCAGACTATCGTTCGATGGTTAATAGATTAATAGGAAACAAGAACGAGAGTCTATGCAGAATTAATCTATCGCGATTCTCAGCGACACGTGCGAGCGTTACGAAGACTCGCGTGTGTTTTCACTAGCCAAACTGGGGACCAAAACTGCGTAATAAATAGAAAATACCGGAGGAATTCTAAGCTACTGATCTATGAAAAGCGAAATTTAATTTACAGTTGCACGGTCTTCGAAGTTGCTCGAGAAACACCGGAGATCATCGTCGGGGTTTGTCACCGTCTCGTCGCGCACTGTCACTGTGCGAGCTGATCGAACGCGATACTCTTCTTCGTGGAAGTTCTCCGTGTTCGCTACCGATAATGTCATCGCATCGAACGCGCGTCTCTTACATCCCTAGGGTGTACCTACGCGTGTAGGTACGCGTGTAAATACCTAAAATCGTGAGCATCGTCGATCGAACGCGTTCCTGCGATTTCAACGATGGAGAACACGGTGTCCACTCGTCACGTGCCGCTCGCAGGGAGGATGCAGACTCGCGATCCGTGATCTTTGGCAGTATAAAGACGCGCTTACGTATATAGAAATAAGAAGAGGAAGAACGAGGTCGGGGACGAAATCGTGGATCGAGATCGTCCCCGGCTGGCCCGGGAACCGTAATACTGTTTTCACTGTTTGCTCTCGAACTCGGGGATCTCCGATTTCTTGCCGCTCAGCTCGTTCTGAATCTGTTGCAGGCTCTTTCCCTTCGTCTCAGGCAGCACCATTATCGTAAACACCACGCTCGCCACGCAGAACGCGGCGAACAGCCAGTAGAGCGAGTAGTTGCCCCAAGCTTGCTGCAGCTTGTTGCAGTAGAAGGTGATGAAGAAGGAGCACAGCCAGCACACGCACACCGTGATCCCGGAAGCCTTGGATTTCACGTTAGACGCGAACATCTCGCCCATCACGGTCCAGGCCAGGGGACCCCAGCCCACGCAGTACGTAGCGATGAATATGACCAGAGACAGAATAGGTAGGAACGCGACCGAGCTCATGTCTGATCCTCGATCTTGCAGGAACAGGTGGATCCCCAGTGCTATCTGAAATTCGGAAATAAACGGAGTTTAGTGACCTATAGTGAACGTTCGGCGAGGTTCGGGGCTCCTCGCGAGGGCTCCGTCAACCCTCTGCTTCGTGTCGTAGGGATTGACAGTGGTGGTAATTTATTGAGAAATTATAACTGTGTACGAGTGAAGATTAACCCTTTGACTACGGCAGGCTTTGAAACGCATCGGTTGTACCACACGGGTAGGAATTCATTTACAATGTCCGCCAAGAACGGCAAAATTTTGGATAGAGATGCGCCCTCCGTGTCAAAAAAGCAAACTGTGTTGAGCGCTTATATGCGCCCCCCGTGTCACAAAAGCAAAATTTCTGAGCGCGTATATGCGCCCACAGTAGCCAAGGGGTTAAACATACGAATTTTCTCTTTACAGGAATCTGCATCGATTTCCAACTCGATATAACTAACCGTCTACAACTAAAACTGATCACTCTGAATTGTCTACAAAAATTGTGTTCCAACCACTCTTAACCCCTTGTCCTACGATTTAAGAGTCAACGACTAAACTGCCAAAGTGAAAGGATTAAAGCGTCATCGAGATATCGGATACCGGATGACAGTGATTTCCCACGCTCTCCGTTCCAACGCTATTTCCATCGCGAAACCTGTTCGCTGTCAAACCTGTTATATTATAAATCCGTCGGGTAATTATTAGAATGCAACGATGATACCGGGGATTGAACGGCAAGTGAGAGGTTACTGAACAAGATTC